TATTTGCATGTAACTTATTATCGGGCCAATAAGCACAAATGTGAGCTTATACTAAAAAGGGGCAATTCTTTAAAAGATGTTTATGTTCAAAGGAATGAAGCAAATACAAACATTTCAGAAACCTAGTAAAAAAGAATGACAAGCTTCCAAATCCATAAAGTAGTCAAAAGCATGATTTCAAGGATAAGATTTAAGAAACATTTTTAAAATTTTTTTCTTTCGCTTCTTTAACACAGGATTTCACTGTGTAGTTCAGTCTGGTCTTGAACTCACAATGTAGCTCAGGCTGGACTCAAATTCATGGTGATCCTTTTGCCTCAGCCTCCAAAATTGTGGGATTATAGGCATGCACCAGCATACCTGGTTAAGGACAGGACTTTTAGAAATTGAGGATTTTTAGAAATTACTAGTTATATCTGACCTGATTTGCAGTATGTCCTTGATTGTCTCTGAAAGAAAAAATATTTGGGTTCCAGAAAGCAGTTGGATAATGCTAGAAAATTATTTTAAAATACTAAATTAATTTATTAAAGATAAGATAAGTTCAATTTATACATGTAAAAACAAAGTGCTTCAAATTTTATTAAATATACATCACCCATTTTGTGCACACATTTAAGTGATTATAGTTGTATTTGCTTAAAAATGCACCATCACCACAATCTTATTTCAAATCATTTTTAGCATCACAAATGTTTGTGCCCATAACTAACTTTCCTATAAACATAATTACACAAGTGATCTTTTGATTCAGACTTCTACTAACAGTAATGTTTTGACATTAATTTTTGTTTCAGTGTAAGTAAACTTAAGTGTTGCAAAACTAAATCAACATGAAGATTATGTCTACTTTCTTCAAATAGCTAACAGAAAGGGGAAGCCAATATTTACCATTATTTATCAATTATTTTTTATTCAATGATATATATTGTGTATTCACAGGCAAGAGAAGAGATGTTTACATATAGTTCTTTAATAAAAGTCCTTCAATGTGAAATAGGAACAAAAGGGCTAAAGGCGTAGGGAAGTGGGAATGGTAGGGGAAAGGAAAGAAGGGAAAAGAAAAACTCTGAGAAAAGGAAAAAATGGAAACAAAGTCTTTGTAAATAGTGAAGGGAGGAGAGGGTAAAGGGAGGGCAGGGGTAAGGGGCAAAAATGAGAACCAAGATCTGTCATGTAAGGGTACAAGATCCCAATGATGAATGTAACTGTACTATATACTTAAAAAGAACCAACAAATTCAATGAGAAAAAAATAAAGAAAGAAAAAAATAGTCCTTTCCTAATAGGGACAATTCTCAGACTTGTAATTTGCTTGAACGACTTTGATTCAAAACCTGCTTGCTTCATGCTCAAGTCTATGCCCAGCTGGACACACGGCCCTACACCCTGGCAGCCAATATGCACACTCATCTCAACTGTTTCCTTAACTACTTTAGTCTCGATGTCTCACTTTTATATACTATGTGACATGAAATGATTGTTTCCCTTCTAGCTTGTATATATTAACCTTCTGCCTTCAAATTCCTCCAGGTTACCTAAGTTCTCAAGTAAAATAATTAGAATAAAATGTTTAATTGATGATTCAAGGGGAAGAAAATGTTCCTTACTAATAAAATCTCTGTCACATATATAATTTATATCTCATTCCTATTATCTTTATTCTCTCATAATAGAAGAACAGGCTTAATGTAGACCTCATGAAATTCTTTCAAGAATCATGCTTGGCAAAGTGAGAGAAGGAAAGTAAATACTGTGAAAGCATCAACACAGATGAATGCGAGGTTGCCCTCTGAAATAAAAGGCCACAACAAGGGCTATTCAATGCAATAATTCTTTGCTGTAGTCATTTGTCATTCAAGCTGTTATGCTGTCATATCATAGGGCACAGAATTTCACGTGAAAGCCCTCCAATAATCCATCCACAAACTGCAGCTGGCAGCATCATTCCGTCTCTGATGTGACGCGTCTCGTCATCTCTCCAGTATGTCTCATTGTGGAAACTGTCATCACACATAAGTTTCGCTCACTCACATTATGAGCCTGTCACATAAAACTTTCCACAGGTGTGCAGTGCGGTTGTCACTGCTCGTCTCACCAGGGACCTTGCTCCCCCTTTAGGGCCCACTCATTTTGCCTTTTTACTTTGCCTTCTAATTGGTAATTATTACACACTTATTAAAATATCAAAGATAGGAAAATGATTGAGGAACTTTTTATAAATAGTTTGGGATTTTGCAAGAAACTGGGTAGAGGTAAAAAGAAAAAGAATTACTACTCATTGGAGAGAAGGGAAGAGGCAGTTTCTATTCATCTTCATATTTTACTTTAGTCTATTTCTAAACACACATTATCCATTCATGTGTCTTTTTTTCACAAATGCTCACACATTTTCTATACCTCGTCTTTCTTTACTGGCAATTAAGTTGCTTTTATATTTTACATGAAGATAATATCAAAGTCTGAAATTTTCCCTGAAAGTGTTGGAATTACAATTCATTCCCTTAAAGTTCTTATGAAATTTTGCACACACTGCATACTATTTTGAGTGTATTTCCATATAACTTATTTTACATTTCCATTTGATAATTATGTCTCTCTAGATTGAAATCTACCTAAAGGACATTGTTTCAATATGTATAACAGGCAAACTGCACTTAATTACAATATAAAGGGAACTAAGCATTCTTGTTGGGTCAAACTCCAGAAGGATTTCCTATTTCCTTGTGTTCAATGAATATTTAATGGTTTGAGTTTCACGCCTTCAATTTCAGAGAAAACCAGGTATGTTGTCAGTGATTTTTATTAGCTGTATAAGCATGAATAAAACTCTAAAAATTGTATACCACAATTTTCCTATATGTAACATGATGACAATGATTCTGCTCATGGTTCAGGGCTTTTATGAGTTCTTTAATGTATGTGGAATTTTTAGAACAGAGCCTAGCACGTAATGACCTTGTAATCATTTATGATCATGTTTGGTGACTCTGAATTCTATGAGCAATATTTAAAACAATCACTAAAAATGAATTCCTGTGATAAATTATAACATGAACAGAATCTATACAAAGGACTAACTGATCTTACTATGTATTTCTCAGCCACCATACAGATATACACAAACATGCTACACAAGCTTCTTAAAGTGAACAAAGACAAGCTTGAAATAATCTGAAGCCAGTCCATTGTTCCTGAAATTCATAGTAAACTGTACAAAATAAACTAAAAAGATTATTTTAATGAATTAAAAGTTATCTTTCTATGTATAAATTAGATCCTAATGTGTGTTTTTGTACTTTTTTATTTTAGAGCCAACAAATGACCTTTGTAAATTACTTCAGAGATTTAGAATCATAATTCCCTTCAATTTATGCACTCTTTATATATCAGGCTAACAAGCTCAAGAAGGGAAATATACAAAAATTATAATAACAGGGAGCACAATAAATTGTTGATAATCTGTATCTCATCTACCTTTAAGAACAAAGTAGTGACAAATCTAAGATTAATTAATGATAATATCATTTATAGGTAATGTCATAGAAAAATGGAACTTCTCTTTCAAATACTTTTCATTATTCCATAACTATATAAGAATATTGTTCAAAGTAAGGTGACACATAAAATAACCTCAATTTATAAACACTGGTTGCCACACTGATAAAACATCAGTGTTGATATATTTACAATGAATTGCACCAACTATTATCATTACCAATAAAAATAAGAAATAAATCCTGAGATTTAGCTCAGTGGCATCTCCCCTGCTTCACAAGTATAAGGTCCTGAATTTGATCCCTGCCCCCCCAAAAAGAAGAAATAGTAAAATATTGGTGCTAACTGTGGCTTTCTTTTGTTTAGTTTCTCTGTATACAAAGAACTTCTGCAACCTTTCTAAATTGAGTAAATGGATCATAAAAATGGATCTGTTGTGACTGAGTTTATTTTATCAGGATTTTCTGGACAGTGGGAACTTCAAATTTTATTCTTTGTTATATTTTCCTTGATCTATGGGGCTACTGTGGTAGGAAACACTCTCGTTATACTCACAGTGACACTGAGTTCCACCCTTCATTCTCCCATGTACTTCCTCCTTGGAAACCTCTCCTTTTTGGACATGTGCCTCTCCACTGCCACAACACCCAAGATGATCACAGACTTGCTCACTGAACACAAGACCATCTCTGTATGTGGCTGCATGGCCCAAACGTTTTTTATGCACTTCTTTGGCGGTGCTGAGATGACTCTTTTGATAGTCATGGCCTTTGACAGATACACAGCCATATGTAAACCCCTGCACTACAGGACCATCATGAGCCAGAGGTTGCTCAGTGGGTTTGTGATACTTTCATGGACAATTGGTTTTATACACACCATGAGCCAGATGGTGTTAATAGTGAACTTGCCCTTCTGTGGCTACAATGTCGTAGACAGCATATTCTGTGACCTCCCGCTAGTTATCAGGCTGGCTTGTGTTGAAGCACATACCCTGGAATTATTTGTCATTGCTGACAGTGGGTTGCTCTCTTTTGTCTCTTTCATCGTATTGCTTATCTCTTACACTGTTATCCTGGTCACTGTCCAACAAAGATCATCTGCAGGGATCTCCAAGGCTCTCTCCACATTGTCTGCTCACATCATTGTGGTCACTCTGTTCTTTGGACCCTGTATTTTTATCTATGTTTGGCCATTCAGTAGTTTTGCAAGCGATAAGACTCTTGCCATATTTTACACTGTTATCACACCCTTACTCAATCCTATTATTTACACCCTGAGAAATCAGAAAATGCAAGGGGTAATGAGAAAATTACTGTTCCAACACATTAGAGGGACATGGATCACGTAGAATTTGTTCTGTGTAGTGAATTCATGATTCGTATATATGATGGTAAGATGAATTGAATAAATTATGTACAAAATACTGTTTCTTGTTTTTTTTATTACAACCATAGCTAATGCAGAAAAAATTAACACTAAATTATTTTAAATTCCCATTTAAAATTTGCGCAGTGGCAGTATCATAGCGAATGAGGTTTATCCGAGGCCTGATTATTGTTAATTGAAAACTTTTCCTAAAATTCCCAGTGAAGCCATTATAAATCTCTAATAAGAATAATTTGAAGTATACAGCAAAGTAGACATATGAAAGTATTGAACGTGTTTCTCCTTTTACATTCAAATTATGTTGATGGGTGAAATAACTGTACAAAATATATTAAAATTCTTTAGTAATGATTTTAATTTGATAAAGATAAATAGAATTTATAAATGTATACCACCATTAAGCATCATGAATAAATTATTATTGAAATACAGTTAATAAAGAAAAAATATGTCTTGCACTACTGATCACAAATTAACTAAGTGAATTTCTGTCCTTTCTGCATAAGATGGGAGTGATAAGATATCAAACATCCAATTTTAGCCTCTTCTAAAATTAAATAAGTGGATAGTCAAAATTTTAAGAAATTTTGAATTTGTAAAAAAATACAATTTTGACAAGCTAAAATAAGTTTTAAAGACAGACTTAAACTGTTGCCAAGAAGTAGTAAAATTATACAGGAATTAAGACAGTGTTACATATTAACATCAGTAGTACAAAAATATGAAAAAACACAGAAGGGCTTAAAGACTTATGAGACATAAGCTAGTGGACTAACCCATTTCAGGAAAGTTTCAGAAATAGAAGTAGGAGTCCAAGAAATAAAAATTTTATTAAAATACAGTCTAAAGCTTTCACAAACTGAGGAAGCAAATGGGCATCCACATCCCAAAAGCCCAAAGAACATGTAGTAAGACAAATCCAAAGAAATGTGCATTGAGAATTGCAACCAAAAAGTCAAAAGTCAAAGACAAAAAGAGACTATTGGAAATGAGCAAGAGAAAAATATATTTCCACATGCAAGGGAACTATCGTAAGGTAATTAACAGCAGTTTTTCAGGAGAAATCTTGCAAGCCAGTAAGAAGTAGAAAGTATAGTGCTAAAAGTAAAAGCAAACACTGTCAAATAAGAATACAATACCTGTCCAAATTATCTTTCACAAACAAAAAAAAGAGATAAAGAAAACAAAAGTTGTGGGATTCTTCTTACCACTCACATCTGCCTTATAAGAAATGCTAAAGGAAAATTTTCAACTTGAAAAGCCACTCGTGAAAACATACAAAGTAAAAAGTTAACTGTAAAGTTGTTATCATAATTGTAATCCTTAACACTGTAATGGTGATGATTGAATCCCTTTTAATGTTTGTATAAAAATTAAAGACAGGAGTAAGAGCAACCAAGTGGCAGAGTGTAAGTTCTCTGGCACCACTTCCCCATACCCAGAAATCCAGCTAGCAACTATTTCCAGTGAAGAATATATTTGTGAATATCCCAAAATTAGAAGCCAATTTGAGACACCCTTTTCATTTCAGAGTTGAAAAGAATTGTGTTCCCAGGGAAAAAAGGGTGACAAGGCAGCACCACAGACTGAAGGTTCCCCTGGACCAGTGGTTTCTTCAGTAAGACAAATGATTTGGAAGAAGACATTGAGCTTTCCCAGACATTTTTCTGGGACCCAACACAGGAGACATGCACCTGTCTCCCTTCACGGGGGACAATATAAATCAAACTGGAAACCTCCTCATAGCAAGGGGATAACAAAATGAAAAGGTAACATCTGGAATGAAAAAGTAACATCCGGAATATGAGAAATACTTTACAATCCATATATCAGACAAAAGTTTAATTTCCAAAGTATCTGAGGAATTCAAACAACTCAATGGAAAAAAATACAGTAAAGTCTTGGTTTGTGAGTATGATTTGTTCTAGAAATATGCTTGTAATCCAAAGCATTTGTATATCAATTTCCCCAGAAGAAATAATGCAAACTCGGATGTTTTGTTCCACAACCCAAAGACATTCATAGAAAATGATTACAATACTGCAATAAGATACAAAATAATAAATAAAGTATAAAACTTAAAGAAAAATAAATAAATTAATTAATTGTATTTACCTTTGAAAACTTTCATAGCTGGATGTAAGGGAAACAACAGGGAGGAGGGTTATTATACAGGACAATTTTCAGTATCGATGACAGAATTACTGCTGTTTGCTCAATGGAAACTTTCTTTTCATGCAGTTTTAATTAGGAACCTATCCAATGATATTTGCTTTTTTCTCTTATTGAGAACTTCAAGGAAATGCATTGTTGAATGCAAGGACATTGCACTGTTAAATAGATTCATCGCTTCCACTGCTAAAACCTTATTTGGATGGTGCTTTTCTACAGAATTTTGCAGTTTCCCACATTTTATGCATATCCTTAATCTCATTTGAAGTGAACATTTCCTCTGGCTTTTTCTCCTCTTCCTCTGCAAAGGAGCTCTCCTCCATAACCTCTGGCTCTTGGCATATAATCACCCACAATCCCACAGTGTAGGGAGGAGGATGATAGGCTCCGTCATGATCATGTGATGTTCCACATTGCTTACTCTACATATTGCAGGATATCAATCTTTTAAAATTCATTAGAAATATTTGTTAGTCTTGTGGAACACTCACAGAACAAGTAACCCAGAACCCAAGGTTTTCCTATAAGTTAATTTTAAAATGAAAAAAGAATCTGAATTGACATGTTTCAAAGAAAGACATACACATTGTCAACAAGTGGGTAGAAAGATACTCAACATCATTAATTATGAAATAAATAAAAATTAAAACTACCATGAGACATCACCTCACACAAAATGTAAGAAAGGTGATTTGATGTCAATTTATGGAGAATTCAGAAATGTGGGCTTCATGGAAATGAAACTCTTAAGAGTTTTTGAGCCCACAGAGAGAAGAAGTAGGGTACATTTTAGGAGTTACTAGGGACTAAAGTAGAGTGACTAAGAGGTAATAATTAACTGAATAATATTTTTCTTCTTTAGTCCCTCAGCATAAGGAATGTTTTTTTCATTTTAAGTAGGCTTTTACAGAATCCAGTGCTCCTAGGTCATACGTTTCAGATGTCCACGGTATTTCACACTATTATTATGAACATTCCTTCTCACCCAGAAGTTTTAGTCATACCATGCATACCCCCAGGGTCACGTGGTAGAAGTGAAGACATTAATCTGTAAAAGCAATGCTTTTCTCACATTGAGGGAAAGCAACATGTTCCTCTCTCGAGCAGCATAGATGTTAGTGCCCCTTTTACTTTCCTCTCTAATCTAAAGAACTCTGCTTTGTTGTCTTTCTGAAAATTATGCTTAAATTTAAGAATTTTTATTCAAAATCCTTCAAGGCCTAATACTCAATATTTTCCTCATTTGCTTAGTTTATCTTTAACACAGAGACAGGAACATTTGAAATGGTACTCATCTTCATGTTAGAATATTTGATGACATATTATGTCTTATTTTTCCTTCGACTGTCTTTGGGAAAGTTTTTGGAATTTATATTCCAGATCAGCCAACCCCTTACAAGTAATGGTGCCTCATCCTACTCTGATGGTTCCTCAGAGAATGAGTAATCATTAACTTTTTAGATATTTTTTTGGCTTGGCAGAGAAGTCCTTTCAAATGCTATAGAGGCCAAGTCCCAAAAGGACAGAAGATGAAAGAACTGTATTTTTATTTTATGTAGAGCATAAAAGTCATTCTCTAACTAGAGATAGGACAGTGTGTATAAAATAGGTCAATCCAAGATTTGATACATGTGAAAATTGTGACAAGATCCTGTTGACTGAAGACATCACAACATCACAGTATCGAAACTCAGGGTTGGTAAGTGACACTATAGAAATACATTTTAGGATGTTCAGCCAGAAGCAACAGGTATTCAATAAAAACTCAGAAATAATGGCTTTAAAGTGATTATTACCAATTTACTGTGAAATGCACCTATTTTCTTTGTACATTCCATAATAATAATAATAGAGTAAGAAATAATCAAATGAAACTTTCTTTACGGAACCTATTGCAGTATAAATGGGGTTTGGAGGTAGAAACATTTAGTGCTAGTTTTATGTTAGATTCTTGTCCAGAAGCCAGAATGGATTATCTCTGCTTTAAAACTTACAAAATGAATTTAACTTTGGATAATTCTATCAGGATTTCATACTAAGGGAAAGATGTAAAAATTTAATTTTTGTTCAGTTGTTTTTTGTTTATCTGATGAGAAAATTGTTTGATATACTTAAAATTCGCAGTATATAGCAGGAAAAAAATTAAGTATGCTATCTACCTGATGATTATTTCGAAAAAAAAAATCACTCCATGTTCATTGTCTTCTCTTCATTCTTAAAAAAAAGAATGCATTTTAAATGAATTCTAACTGGTAATCTAATCGTCTCTTGACCTTGCAGATTACTGACACAATGAATAAGTCTGAGGCAAATTTGAGCTTTGCTTTTGTGAAAGAATTTATTCTCCAAGGCTTCTCTTGTGAGTGGAAAATTCAAGTCCTCCTCTTCTCATTCTTCACTACAACATATAGTTTCACCGTAACAGGGAATGGAGCCATCGTTTGTGCCCTTTTGCATGATCAGCGACTCCACACCCCCATGTACATGTTCCTGGGGAATTTCTCCTTTCTAGAGATCTGGTACGTCTCCTCTACAGTCCCAAAAATGTTGATTAACTTCCTCTCAGAGAAAAAAACCATCTCCTTTGCTGGGTGCTTCCTCCAGTTCTATTTCTTTTTCTCTTTGGGAACATCTGAATGCTTCCTTTTAAGTGTCATGGCTTTTGATCGGTACCTGGCTATCTGCCATCCCTTGCACTACCCTAATATTATGACAGGGAATTCTTGTATCAAATTAGTCATTATCTGCTGGGTTTGTGGGTTTCTGTGGTTTTCAATTCCAATTGTTCTCATGTCTCAAATGCCTTTCTGTGGTCCGAACAAGATTGACCACGTTGTGTGTGATCCAGGGCCACTCTTTGCATTGATTTGTTCCTCTGCCCCAAGAACTCAATTGCTTTGCTACACTCTAAGCTCCTTGGTTATCTTTGGTAATTTCTCTTTTATTCTTAGTTCCTATGCTCTTGTCCTAATAGCTGTATTGCGTATGCCTTCAGCCACTGGGAGACATAAAGCCTTCTCCACCTGCGGGTCTCATTTGGCTGTGGTATCATTGTTCTATGGTTCTCTGATGGTCATGTACGTGAGCCC